AGCAGTTCGTTTCAGTGGCTGCACAGAACTCACAGACAACAGTCACGATTATGGGGTTTATTAGAGAAGTAGCAGGTTACAATTCAGGATCAGAAATGACTCAGGATACAGTTCTTGGTCAGGATAGCCTCCCAACCATACCCAGAGGCAGGCGTCTCTCTGGCCCTTGGGCCTCTTGGACCGGCCAAGTCTCTGCCCTGCTTTGGCAAATGTTACAGAGCTCTTTTAGCTCTACTGATAAGTGCCTGGAGGCACCCTAATCTGCCACCAAGCCTTAGCCCAAAGGCGCTCAGCTCTGTCAGTCCATGGGTCAGTGAGCCTACCTCCTCCACCAAGTGCCCAGAGGCACCCTTCTCCAACAGCAGACTTCCTTCCTGAAGGTACTCAGCTCTCTCACTCTATGGGTCAGGAAGCCCACCATGCTGTCTCCTGCCAGTGTCCTGGTTCTGCTACTACTGCTTCTTGCTGTCTTTTGCCATTTCCAGTGTTACAGCTCTGTCTCCTGGGTCCAGGAAGTTCCCAGCACAGGGATCTCAGGTCCAAAGGACCTGCTCTCCCCCCATCTCTTCTTGTTGGTGGTGGTGAGGTTTCCCCTCTCCCTTCCCACCTCTGGTAAGCCTAGCAGGATAGAAAAACCGATCAATCCCCTTGTTAGGGTTCCATAGACCTTATTTGCATGGCCCCACCCCCACAAGGGTGTTTTGCACCTTATTTGCATTGTTAGCAAGCTATCCAATCCCCTTCGTTGGCCACAAGCACCTTATTTGCATAGTCTCACCAAATCATTTGGTGGGAGTTCCAAGACCATGGCGAGAAAGACCATGTAAAAGTGATCCCTCACACCAAAGGACAGTCACTAGTGAGTGGTAGCTTGACACCATCTAATTTTTCTGATGTCAGGGTAGATGAAGCTGTGTAGTAGAGGTTTTTTTTTTTTTTTTAAGTCAGAAAAATTATTTTCCCTATATGATTCTACCACCAACTTGATATCTGGCACATTTATTTCTGTTTATGTAAAAAGATGTAACATCAGACCTCCTCTGACTTCAGGGGGAGAGGAGAAAACATCAGCATCAGCCTAAAGTTGATTCCTATAAGGGAGAGGTCAAACATACCTCCTCCAACCTTTTTACCAGTCCGACACTGGCCATCCGTCCACGGCACTCTACTTCTCTGCAGGGTTCAGTAATTCATTGCAGTGGCTACACAGCACTTACAGACCATACTCACAGTTAAGGGTTTATCAGGGAAGTGACAGGTTACAATTCAGGATCAGGAAACATGTAGGCAAAGTCTGGAAGGCTTCCCCTGAAGAGGGGAGCACATTCATGCCTTCTTCAGTGCAGGACAGTTCTCTCAGCTCTGCTCAACCTTGCAGGCCTCCTCTCAGCCCCTGGAGGACAGGTTCCTCTTGACCTCCTCAGGACAGGCCTCTTTCTTGAGCCTTGGCCCCTGGCCTACACTCGGGCCTGGCCTCTGCCTTACTCTACCCTGCTCGGGCAAGTGTTAACAGCTCTTTAACCCTGCCTACAAGTGCCCAGAGGCATCTCAACCCCGCCAGCAAGCCTCCTGCCCAAAGGCACTCAGCTCTCTCTCTCCACGGGTCAGCATGCTTATTGCACCATCTCCCATTGGTCCCCTAGTTCTCGATGGCTGTGCCAGTGCCACTGGACTCTGCCGTGCTTGCCACTCCTTCTCGCCGTCTCAGGTGTTATAGCTGTCTCTGTCCCCTGGGTCTGTGAGGCTCTCAGCATAGAGACCCTGGAGCCAAAGGATGTTCTCACTGCTGGCTCTTTCTTCCTGATGGTAGTGAGGTCCCCCTCTGTCTCTAGGATTGGCTCCCTTTAAGCCTAGCGGGATGGCCAATCTAATTCCCTCCTTAGAGTTCTGTATACCTTATTTGCATGGTCCTACCTTCACAAAGGTTCCATGCACATTATTTGTATTATTAGCAAGCTGTCCAATCCTTTTGGTGGGCCACAAGCACCTTATTTACATAGTCCCACCCAATCATTTTCTGGGAATCACAAGACCATGCATGGCTAAAAGGGCCATATTAAGTAATTCACTGCACCACAGTTTATTTTGAATTTTTAGGGATTGTACTTTTTTCTTTTGATTTGGCTTTATCAGTGGATAAAAGATTGACATGCTTCCAAAGTGAGAACTACAGAACAGAGTAGATTCAGAGAAGTATTATTTCAGCTCAGTCCCCATCATGTCTTAGAGGTCATTGTTGAGCTCTGATTTTGATTTATTTTTGCAGTGTTTCTGTTTGCAGATATGAGCAAATATATGTATTTGGTTTCCCTTTGTCTTATACACAGGTAACACGTAATATATGGTATTTGACGTGTGTCTCTTACCTCCTGCCTCTTCCATTTCTGTGTTCTGGCGGTCCCTCCACACCCATGGCGGGGAGGGTTCTTCATCCCTTTTATGCTGTGTTGTGCCCAGGAGCACTCATGTAGGACTTGTACAGATCAGACAAGTTTTGAATTCTGTGGGGCCCTTTTTTCACGTTTTTTTAAAAACGTCTGTAAAATGGGCATGTCAGTAGTACCCACCTCTGATAGGGCTGTTGAAAGGATTAAGTGCGTTACTTCTTTTTTACAAGTTACATCTTTTTTTTTTTTTTTTAAACACGTTGCTGTAAAAAAAATTAGTATATCATGCTTATGAAAATACCTCATGGGAGGAGGACACAGCTGGCAAACAAATGTAGAAGGCGTGCGTTGTTTGCCTAAAAATAGGGCAGTGCACGTAAAGTGATTAGAACTGCACCTGGTCCCTAATCATGCTCAGGTGTTAGTTGTTATTGGTCCCGGTGGTTATCGTGTATGGTCTGGTAACACCAGCCTCACGAGCAATCTGGACACTTGCAAGCAGGAGAGCTGGTGCAGACTGTGCTCCTCCTCAGCCCCTTTTTTTCTCTGGAACTGTCTCAGGAGGGTTGGGGTGCTTTAGTGTAGATGGGGGGTACCATAGCCAGTCTGTCTGGATGGGAATTCTCATGCCTGGAAGGGTCAGTTTGGATGCCGGCATTCCAGAGGCAGGAAGTGTGGGGAGCAGCAACGTCATAGGCCCAGGGGGTTGAGGCACAGAGGCACTATTTTAGATTCTCAGGTTTTTTCCTGCTGGGAAGGAACATGGGGCACTCTTGCAGTTGACCCCCAGCACTCAGCCCTAAGGTGTTCTAGGATGACCCAGCCTTTGGAAGAATTTGGGAAATGTGTTTAAGCCACAGAAAAGTCGCTCAGCTGGAAATGTGACATAACTGCTCGTTGTGCCCTGTTTCACCTGTTAGGTGTTCCTGCCTCCTCCCCTCCTCCCACACTGGTTTCATGAGCCTTCCCTCTGCGGTAGCAAATCCGCTTCAGCCGAGCACTGACTGCACAGGAGCGGGCATCGTAGGCAGAGGGTGCCAGGAAGGGGAGCAGGAGTGGCACTGGGCCCTGCAGTGTCATGGGGATCTCTGTCCTGACTCCGGTGGTTGGCGAGAGGCCCTAGTTCTGTGCGGAGGGGGCTTGGGGACGTGTTCCTGGGCCTCATTTCATGTATATGCTGTCTGAGCAAAAGTACTATGTTGCTTTCTAAACCTACTTCCTCTTCTGCCTTTTATGGAAGTGGAGAAAGATGGCTCAGGGCCCAATGCCATGTCAGCCACTGGCCTGACTCTGCCTGGAGCCTTGTCCCCTTGCACTTGGCCACCTCATTTCTGTCCTGTACTTCCTCCGTCCCACACCTTCATTGCTCCCTACTCACCAACTGCTGTCCTACAAGGGACCAGCCTTGTGGCAGGCAATGGAGGGAGACTGTCACCCCAGCACATTGTCTTTCCCACCAGAAATTGGTGGGGCTTTCGGCAACTGAGAGTGTCACTGAGACTTCCTGAGCGCCCTCTGCCGAGCAGCACCTCACTGCCCCTCCTGTGCCACCCCCTCTGCCTGCGGCCATTATCCCAGCTTCTCCTCCCTTCCTGGGGCCACCTCCCCCTTGGGTTATCCTCTGCTCATTCCCCCAGCTGGAAGAAGGTGGTGAAGTGGTGTTTGGAGATAGATGAGGAAAAGTAAAGATTTAAAAAATGTTCTTATCTTTTTATATTCATCCCAAACCACTTTCATTTTACTTCCCTTTTCTATAGGGGTTGTCTCATGACATTCATTTCCCTGCTAGTCCCTGAGCTCACAGGCCTATGTCCCTAGGATGTACCTTCCCAGTGCTGGGGCTAGCCACGGGGCAGGATGGATGCTGCCTTGCTGGCGTGCTCTCTGGGGGACAGACTCAGATCGCAGCGACATGGAGCAGAAGATGAGGGCTTTGCTCTGCATTCTGGTGGAGATTTAACTCAGACGTCCCTTTGTGGACTACAGACAAACTCAGAACAGTGATTTACCCAGATCCCTGGGAATGAGTGTCCGTGGGTGCAGAGAGGACACTGTAGGGCAGGCTGGCCCTGCTAGGCACTGCCAGAGACACGGCCGGCCCCTCGGTAGTGCTAAATTCAGATTCACTCACATCTCTGGAAAGCACCACCCTGCATCCAGTCCAGATTTGCATGCAGAGGGAAAGCAGGAGGCAGGGTATTAAAAGTGAAAGCATTTCGATAAAAATAGTGCAGAAAGCGCCTGCCCTTATCCACTTTAGAGAAGCCCTGTGGCCACAGGCCAACCCTAACCTCCCCTATCCGGTGGTGTCTCCTCTGAGGAGGGGCTGCTCAGGGAGCTCAGGCTCACTCAGCTCCAGAAGGCCCTGCACACCCTCCTTGTTTTGTTTCTGCATCCTTTATTGGCTGGCACAGCTGAATGCTGACAACTCTTCTCTGAGCGATGGATTCCAGAGAGGGCCGAGCCTGGGTGGCGCATCACCGTCGTCACTGTGTGTTTCATTCAGCTCCGTGGCAGGAGCGTTGCCAGAAAGGGGCAGGGGGAGGGGAGGTCGGTCACACATGGTTTCACAGCTCTGCCTGGGATTAATCTACTTCCTGTTTCTATTTTTAGGACGAATACCTCTCTCTTGTGGCCAGGCTCATTATCCACTTTCGAGACATTCGTGAGTAAAGTTGTGCGTTTCTGTGTTGTTGTGGTCACAGCCTCTGTGGGAGTCGGGGCATCTGAACATGCCTAACTGCCAACAGCTTTCGGGAAAGTTCTTCACTGCACTTCATTCAATTCAGTATCCCCACGTCCCCGAGTCTGAGCCTCAGAAATGTGCATTTCGGCTTAATGGGAATGTTGACCTCAAAGTGGTCAGTTTAATCTCCTTTTTTAAAGCACTACTGTTTTTACTTCTCAAGTTCTTAAAGAAACAGTGTTTACCCTGGAACAGAAAATTCCCTTTGCTAAGGGTTGGTTTCATTAACCCATGGGGGCCTGACCTAAATGTGTGTTCCTGCAGAGGGGAAGCTTCTGAGGTCGCCTTCCTAAAGTCCACGTCTAGCTCTCTGCCATTGGGTCAGTGCCTGAGAGGGAGGCTGTGTGGCCCCTGCCACGTGCTGCCTTCTCCAGTTTGGGGTCCCTCTGGTTCTGTCAGCAGCGAGGCAGCAGCCCTGGCTTTTCAAGAGTGAGTGGTGGTGGTGTAACCTGGGGTCCCGGGGTCTTGGTGGTCTTTTGTGTGTTCGTCTAAGTGTGTGGACCACGGGTGGACACTGAGCATTCCTGAATGGTCACAGTCTCCCCAAAGGGAAGTGCGGTGGCAGGATGCTGTGTTCTCAGCCTCCAGTACCTTCTGCCAATGTGGTTGTGTCACCACTGGAGATTGGGGTGCTTCTTGATGCTTGCCATCCTGGGAGCAAGCCCTCGGACAAGTCCTGCTGCCTTTCCCCAATGGTCTAGCTGCAGTCAAGATATTAGTTGTAGCGACAGCTTCAGTACAGAAGTAGAACTTCAAGCTTACACTGAACACACAGAAGACCACCAAGGTCCGTGGACCCCAGGGTGCAGTGATACCCTTCACTTCTGAAAAGCCAGGGCTGCTGCCTGTTGGCTGACAGAACCAGGATCTATGGGCGAAGGGAACCAGTGACAACTTCAGAGTTCCCAGGGGATGGGTGGGTTTGACTTCTGTCAATACTAACTTTGTAGCCCAAAAGCTAGCAAGGTAAACTCCACTTGATTACACTTCCTTGCCTTGTTTGGGGAGGTCCTGTGATGTGTAGGAGACAAGGAACCGTGAGCCTGGAGCAAGGCGAGGCTGCTCAGGGGGTGTCAGTGGTACAGCAGTGCCCATGGCCCTGTCCTCCAGCTCACAGCGGGGCATGGAGCTTGGAGCAAGTCCTGAACAGGTATTTTCTGAACCTTGAGGACAGAGGGGGCTGAGAGAGAGTTGACTTCACGTTCCCAGCACCATCTGGGCCTATCATGGACTCCTTAGCTCTCTGGTTGTTCCTCGGGGCCTAGGCTGAGACCTTGACCTGGGAAGAAGGGGAAGCCATAGGGGAGAGATTACCACCCTCAGCAGGTTCCAGCCTTGGGACAGTTCTCCAGGGCCCCAGGCTGACCCTGAGGCAGTTCTGTCCCCTGGCATTTTCCCAGCTACCTGGAGCACCCCCCCAGTCGCTGGGAGCACTGAGAGCTTCTTGGGGGTTCAGGCTGCGAGGCTCTGCATGTGTTCTGTCTAGTTTCTAGGCAGGACCAGCTCAGCTTTAGCAAATGAGGTACCAAACTGTGGTCATGTAAAACTTTGTTTACTTTGTGTGTGTGTTTTTTTTTTTGTTGTTGTTGTTTTTCTGTATAGATAACAAGAAATCTCAAGCTTCTGTAAGTGGTAAGAGTTTTTCCTTTTTGAATTAAAGTTTTGGATTTGGGGCGGCAGGAAGGAGATAATGGGTGCCATGTGTGCCTGGGCCTCACCTGTTACTAGAGGAGAACGTTCGCAGAGAGAACACCTCCAGCAGGAAGCCCCGGCATCCATGAGAACGCTGCTGAGCAGGGTCCTGGCCTCGCCCCCCTCTCTCCGTCCCTCCCATCCAGTCAGACTGTGAGGGCAGGTGACCCACCCATCCAGCTTCAGTGAACACTCAGCAAAAGGAGTATTCAAATCCACAGAATTATTAGGACATCTTCTACAGTTTTGAGCTCTGTGGGAGAGAACTATTCTGGTATAGTCTGTGTAATATCTTGTAGTAGTATTTCTTAGAGAACAGCATGAATTCTTATTTTTAAGTTACAGAGTGTCTTTGTAAGTAAAAGTACGGCATTCTTGTGAAAGGTGTAATGCCATCACACTTCGCTGGGTCTTGGGACCTCCCAGCTGTGTATGCACAGCAGGAGTGCAGTGCTGGCAGGGTGGTGCCTCCAGCCCTGGAGGCCCTTTCACATTAGGACCCTGGCACAGACCCAGCGAGGAATGTGGGGCGTTCTCCCTGCTCAGAGTCCAGGAGCGGTGATAGACACACCCAGTGTCCTAGCCTCTGGTATGCAAGGTGCTGGGCCGGGGCCTGGAGAGGCTCCCGGGACTTTGTGGGCCCCCACCACTTGGGGGCTTTGAGGATAGAGCCTGTAAGAGGAGGAGGTTGGTGCTCATGAGGCCTCACACCCTTGAGCCCCGCCCAGTCAATGAGTGTTTCTAAGATGCCATTGTGTCCCACAGATCCTATGAATGCCCTGCAGAACCTGACTGGTGCCCCTGCTGCAGGAGCCACTGGAATCAACATGGCTGGTCGAGGCCCAGGACAGACCCTAGGTGGGATGGGCAGCCTGGGTGCCATGGGGCAGCCACCTCCAGGAACCTCCGGAATAGCCCCACATGGTATGGCTGTTGTATCTACAGCAACTCCACAGAGTGAGTACCACGATCCCCAGAGAGCTTGCAACTGCCTTTGCAGGGATGACGCGTTGTATTCCTTTGCCTACAGTGGTGTTGCAAAGAGCAGGGTGTAGTTCCAAATAGCTCTGTCTTTTTTACTTTGTGGCATAGTGGGTAACAGTTCAGCTGCTAACAGAAAGGTTGGAAGTTAGAATCCACCGGTTGCTCCTTGGAAATCGTATGGGGGCAGTTCTACTCTGTCCTATAGGGTCATCAAGTCGACAGCAATGGGTTTGGTTTGGGTTTTTTTGGTGTATAGAAAGAGCAAAGTTCCAAGCCTTCATTGAGCTACCAGAAGGGTTAAGTGACATCAAGGCCCTTCTACTCCTAGGCAGGAGAAAAAGACTCGTGGGAGCCTGGGGTAGCCTGGGACTCCATGCCTGGGGTTGTTTTTTTAACTACAGTAGAGACACTTAAGTTCAGGGTGTTCTCAGCCTTGAAGTAGTGCTGTGGTCAGTGCCGCAAGACCCCTTATTTGTCCCACGTCTTGGGAGCTGTCCCTTCTAGTACCGTTCCTGCGCTTTGGTCAGCCCTGGATTGTGGCTTAGCCACATCTCCATTGAGCTTCCCCTTCCTTGGAGAAAGAGCTTTGTCCTCTGTTCACTTCCCTGCAGGAGGTGGCCCCTTGTCCCAGCCACATGGCTGCTCTGGCCGGGAGCAGGGCTGAGATGCTGGTGTTCCAGGTGGACCATAGCTTCTCTCAAGGGGAAGCAGAGAACCTTCTCCCTCCTCTCAAGGGCCTGTCTTGATGTGCCTCTGATTCTCATAAGCGTGCTGATTTTTCTTTTCCTTTTTGTAACTTTTTATTTAAGACTCACAGGAAGTTGCAGAATAGTACAGAGAGTTCCCACGTGCCCTTCATTCCACCTCCCCCAGTGAGAATATCTTCCCTAGTACAGTGTCAGCACCAAGAAATGGACACTGGGGAAATACTGTTAACTCAGGTAGAGACCTTACTCAGACCACACTGCTGGTTTTTACATGCATTCTTGTGCACGTGTGTGTCTGTGTGTGTAGTTCTGTGAAATTTTGTCAAATGTAGGATCAAATAACCACCACCCCAGTCAGCATACAGAACTGCTCCATCACCACGAAGGAGTTCTCTCATATTACACCTTAATGACATGGCCTTCTTCAGCCTGAGCCCTGGCAACCACTGACCTGGTCTCAGTACTATGATTATGTCACTTTGCGAATTCCATATAAATGGAATCATGCACTATGTGATGTTTTGAGATTGGCTATTTTCACTCAGCATGATGCCCTTGAGATCCATCCTAGTGGCTGTATCAGTAGTTATGCCTTCCTATGCCAAGTGGTATTTATGGTATGGATGCACCGCAGTTTGCTTATTCATTCACCCTTGAAGGACATTTGAGTTGTTTCCAGTTTGAGGCATTACAAGTAAAGCCGCTGTGAATGTTTTGTACAGGTTTTTGTGTTTTGGTATATTTTTGCCGTGTATATCCCACAATAACCCTGGGGCAGGGGCGGGCAGAGTTGCACTCTCTACCTTGCTAATGAGGCAGCTGAGGCCTAGAACTGTGGAGTCACACAGCCAGGCCTGACGAGCTGGGCTCAAACCCGGGCTGTCTGCCTCGAGCACCCACTCTCAACCCTCCCACTGCGTTCTGGGCCAGGTTTCCTGGATGAGCATTGCCTCACTCTTCTCGGAGGCCAGTGTATCCTCATTCCCACGCACTCCTGCTCTGGAACATTCTCCTGTCACCAGCGATCTCCTCCCTTCTCATATCTTCAGTCTCTTCCTCTTATTGGCTTCTTGCCATCTGTCTCATAGCACATTCTAGTTTCTCCATCCTAAAACAATCTTTGCTTGGTTCCTCATCTCAAGCTCCCATTTCACTCCTCTCTCATAAACATACCTGTTATGGACACAGGGATGGTTTGTGGAGGGATATGCAACTGAAGAAATAATTTCTTTAATAAGAGTCAGCACAAGCTGGTTCCTGTGAGACAGAAGTTAAAGATGTCCCAGATTTCCAGCTTCTCCAAGCTGATGTACCACTCCATCATCTCTAACTCCGACTACTTCCCCTCTCTTCAGTACTCTTCCTCCCGTCTTTGGGTTCAGTAATTCACTGCAATGTCTCTCAGAACTCACCAGCTGTTCTTACAGCTAAGTGATTTATTAGGGAAGTAACAGGTTACAACTCAGGATCAGAATCAACTTGGAAGTAACTGGATACAACTCAGAAGACAAGATACAGTTCTTCAGTCAGGACAGCTTCCAACCAAGACAGCTCTCAGTTCCTTGTCAGCCATGCCGGCAGGCAAGCCATTTGCTCAGGCCTGCTGCCACCAGGCTCTGCCATCTCTTGGCTGCTTCTCACCATCTCATGCCATTTCTTGCTGTCTTCAGTATTACAGCTGCTTCTCTCTCTCTGTGTCTGTCTCTGAAAATCTTCGTCAGGTTGGCTGCTTAAACAGTGAAACCTATGAGAGCCGGACTCAGCGGGACTGCCTTGTTTTTCTGGGTGTTGATTTTAAGTTTTCCTTCTCTGACAGGTTTCTCTGCCTTACAGAGGTTCTGGCTTTCACGGGTTTAGACTATATAAGCCAGTCACTCAATCCTTTTTGGTGGTTTTGAGTACCTTATTTGCATAATAGACTGACCCATCCCTACAGGGTACATAAAATAGACCAATCACAGGTTAAGCTGCCACCCAGCCAATTATTTTTGGCAAAATTATAATCTCAAGGCCAGAAAGGCCATAAACATGTTTGCCCTGCAGACCACCCATGGCCTTTTTTGGCCATGGATTCTTCTATCTAACATTTGGAGGGTTACTTCCCTCTCCCCATGCATTTTACCTATCCAAAGCAGTCATTAACAGTCCTTCAACCTCCAGAGTATGGCCCCGAACACCCTTTTGACTCACTGCTGAAGTCACTCCTCAGGTTCACCCTTCAGCCAAAGATTAGTTAGACAGGCCAAAAAACAAACAGTAATAAACATAGCTTAACCACTCATACGAGACTAAATGGGCACACCAGCCCAGAGACAAAGCCGAGAAGGTGGGAGGGGACAGGAAAGCTGGACAAATGGAATGGGGACCCCAGAGTCGAGAGGGGGAGAGTCATGGGGTTGGCAACCAATGTCATGAAATAATATGTGTATTAATTGTTTAATGGGAAGCTAATTTGTTCTGTAAACATCCATCTAAAGCACACACGAAAAAAAGTCCTCAGTAGGACAGAAACTCCTCAGAGTCAGGTTACTAAGGTACCAGCCATTCAGGTCTGCTGCAGGTGTCCATCTGATCTGGTCAAGTTCCAGAACTCATGTTGACTTCACTGTTTCTTTGGAATGGGCAAGAATATGGATCTCTTGTAATTGGTTGGCCAGGTAGCTATCTTTCAGATTTCTTGGCATAGACGAGTGAGTGCTTCCAGTGTTGCATCCATTGTTAAAGCATCTCAGTTGGTATTTCATCAATTCCTGGAGGCTTGCTTTTCACCAATGCCTCAGTGTAACTTGGACTTCTTCGTTTACTACTATTAGTTCTTGGTCGTATGCTACATACCTCCTGAAATGGTGAACAACGACCAGTTCTTTTTGGTACAGTGACTGTATTTCTTCTGTCTTCTTTTTTTTCTTTTCTTTTTTTTTAATACTGTGTTTTAGGTAAAAATTTGCACAGCAAGTTACATTTCCATTTAACCACTTTTATACAAATTGTTCCGTGACATTGGTTACAGTCTTATATCTTCTTTTGATGCTTCCTGCGTTGTTCAGTAGTTTACCCGTAGAATCCTTCAGTATTGCAACTTGAGACTTGAACTTTTTCTTCAGTTATTTCAGCTTGAGAAATGCCAAGCGTGTTCTTCCCTTTCGCTTTTCTAACTCCAGGTCTTTGCACAGTTCATTAAATACTTTACTTTGTCTTCTCAAACCACCCTTTGAAATCTGCTGTTTAACTCTTACTTCATTTCTTCCATTCACTTTAGCTATTCTACGTTCAAGAGCAAGTTTTAAAGTCTCTTCTGACATCCATTTTGGTATCTTCTTTCTTTCCTGTCTTTTTAATAACCTCTTGTTTTCTTCATGTATGATGTCCTTGATGTCATCCCACAACTCATCTGGTCTTTGGTCGTTAGTGTTCAGTGTCAGATCTATTCTTAAGATGGCCTTTAAATTCAGCAGGATATATTCAAGGTCGTAGTTTGGTTCTGTTGGACTTGTTTTAATTTTCTTCAGCTTTAACTTGAACTTGCATATGAGCAATTGATGATCTGTTCCATAGTTGGCCCCTGGCCTCGTTTGGACTGATGACATGGAGCTCCTCCATTGTCTCTTTCCACAAATGTCATCAGTTTGATTCCTGTCTATTTCCATCTGGTGAGGTCCATGTGTATAGTTGTCGTTTATATTGTTGAAAAAGGTATTTCCAGTGAATGAGTCATTGGTCTTGCAAGATTCTGTCATGCGATCTCTGGCGTCATTTTTATCACCAAGACTGTATTTTCCAACTACCGATCTCCTTTGTTTCCAGCTTTTGCATTCCAATCACCAGTAATTATCAATGCATCTTGATTGCATGTTTGATAAATTTCAGACTGCAGAAGTTGGTAAAAATCTTCAATTTCTTCATTTTTGGCTTTAGTGGTTGGTGTGTTAATTTGAACAGTAGCCGTATTGACTGATCTTCCTCATAGGCATGTGGATATTATCACTGACCGTGTTGTACTCCAGGATAGATCTTGAAATGTTCTTTTTTGACAGTGAATGTTATGTCATTCCTCTTCAATTTTTCATTCCCGTCATAGTAGACCATATGATTGTTCAATTCAAAGTGCCAATACCAGTCCATTTCAGCTGACAAATGCCTAGGACATCAATCTTCAAGCATTCCATTTCATTTTTGAAAATTTCCAATGTTCCTTGATTAATACTCTGAACATTCCACGTTTTTGGTTGCTAATGGGTGTTTGCAGCTGTTTCTTCTCATTTTGAG